GTCTACTCGTGGAGTAGTGACAGTCCTGCCTCGGGACCCCAAAAAAAGAATGTGTGCCCGCGAACTGCTGAGACATAGGAGGGATCCAGAACAAAATAAGGTTCGAGGTCAGCGGCGAAGCCGAGGTACAATATACAGCAAGGTACAGATATGGAAAAGGACCAAGCAACCCTAATAGCATGCACTAAATCATAAATGAGGCCTGGCACTTACGCCAGTCTAGGATATCGTCTTAGCAGAAATTCTCATAAAATTAAAGTCCTGCATTATACTGCTGCTTTTAGACACCGACCATTAAGTAAATGACAATGTTTCCAATTGACAAGTCTAAGGGGTATGACCTCAAAAGACCTGTCTTCATATGAATGGAGAGAAAGCGCGAGAAATGTCGGCTTGGTCAGACGTTCATAGGTCATCACCGATCGCTCTACATTCTTTCACCCACGTTCCTTCGAAACGTTCACTCTCATTAATTGAATATGAAATTTGACGCCCAACGCTCCTTATTTGTCATCTTGAGCTTTCTTTCACTCTCTGCAGTAGCATCTGACCTGCAGGGCGAACCATACCACAATGCTGTTCCGATCCTCCGACGAGCCACCCCCGTAAGGAACGGAACCCATACGGGAAGTGTCGCACCCTCATTCAGCCGCCGTCCTTCGTCTTTGCCACCATCTTCTGTGCCACCATCTTCTGTGCCACCATCTTCTGTGCCACCATCCTCTGTGCCACCGTCTTCTGCCGCACCTACTACCCGCCCACTTACCATCACGAGCCCCCCTGTCTCTTCAGCAGCACCCACGAGCAGTGCCGCACCAGTGACCACTACGGTCAGCAATGGAGACACGATCGTTGTTCCCGTTGGCGTTGTCGTCGTTGGAGGACCCGGTGGTGGCTTCTTTACCATCGCCGGTGCCGCTGCCGGGGCCGCCCCGGTTGCTGTGGCGGCCGGCGCATCTGTCATTGCCGGCTCTTCGTCCGGTGACAAACCTGACGATCCGGATGATCCAAACAAGCCGCCTAGCTCTGTACCCGAGGCGCCATCTTCCGCACCACCTTCATCTGCTCCACCTCCGTCTTCCAGCTCAGTGGCACCTACGACTACGGAAGCCCCGACGAGCACCTCGAGTGCCGTGCCGAACGAAACGCCATCACCGCATCTCATCTACCCCAAAGATGGTGCCACAGATCAGGACAAGAAAGACTTCCTCGCGCTGATCGACAAGGATCTTGGCCAAGGGAATTACAGGGTAACAGAGGGTAGAAAGGTTCTGTTCGTCGCCGCCAATGTCACCACCACGCAACGTGACACCCTCATCAAAAATCCCTTGGTACGTCAGGTCTTTCCGTCCCGCTACACCAGACTGCCGCATATCACTCTGATCAATAGCTCACAAATCTGGCAGGTTGGCGGAGCCGAACCTGATGAGCAGTATCGCAACAATCACGGCGCATCAGTGCTGATCAAGGAAAGAGACCCCAGTGGTGATGAGGTCCACGAGAAGTGGTGGACGGAGTCGCTTGACAAGCTCGGGAGAATTCGAAAGCGCGCCGTGGTCAAGCAGGCCGGTGCCCCAACAGAACTCATCATGCTTTCTCAGCCGCCGGGGGTAGACCTCAAAACTCTCAACACTTACGCATATGATGATAGTGCCGGAGCCGACATTACTGTTTATAGTCTTGACAGTGGATACTATACTAAAAATGCTGTAAGTACAATCCTTCCTAGTCTATTTACGTGCTGCAGTTGACTAATCTAACTGAACGACCAGGAATACACCGGTATGGCTGTAAAACCCCGCTGGATATTCGCTGGCTCTCAGGAAGAAGGGTCTATTGAAAACGACCTCAATCCTATTGGACACGGTACCTGTGCCGGATCCAAGATCAACGGTCCCAAGTTCGGAGTTGCAAAGCAGGTCAACCTGGTCATCGTCAAAGCCAGAACCGACTCTTCCGATACCATTGACGCTCTTGACAAGATCGTGGAAGACGTCAGGTCGAGAAAGCTACAGGGCAAAGCTATTGTAAACTTTTCGCGCTGTCGTACGTACAACCTTTCCGCCATCTGCAACGTCTTCTTTTGCGTGGGATCGAAGTCTGATCAACTAACATTTGCGAAGTTTTGAAAGATGCATCTGAATTCAACAAGAACACGATGAAACAGTATGTGAATGAAATGATTGCTGAGGACATTATCGTCATTGCGGCGTCTGGAAACGACGAGAGTGATGAAGTAGCTGTATGTAGGCGGAGTAACTACGCGTTGAATCCTGTGAGCTGACTACATATCTAGCGAGGAAAAGCAAAGGCTGCCGACATCAATACCTGGCCGGCTCTGATGGCCGCAGAAGGCGTTCCAGTCATCAACGTCGGAGCCGTTGATAACACGGGAAAGAATGCCAGCTTCAGTCAAGGAGGACCTCATGTTCATGTCATGGCACCTGGTGTTCAGATCCAGTGTGCTGCCAATTCCTACTTCTCGGGCACACGAAAGGATAGCGGCACGTCTTATGGTCAGTAATTCCAGCCCATGGTCGATGCAATGAACGGAAGCAGTCTTTCCTAACTGACGCATCCCAGCTGCACCTGCTGTGGCCGGTCTTGCAGCGTACCTTCTTGCGCTAGGAGAATACCCAGAACTGTACGAGTTTGGAAAGGTAGCCGCCAACATGCAAAAGCTCCTCATGGATATGGCCTACCAGCGATCCCCCGACGGGGGACGGGTTATCTTCAACGGTCAGGGTGCCGTCTGTAGCCGCCCTGGGCGGAGCGCCAAGTTCAAAAGACAGGACCTCAGCGGCGAGGCCTGCTCGGTAGTCTCGTCAACGACAGCGCTACCCTCTGCAACTCCTAGTCCTCCTCCAGCCACAACCAGCAATCCACCTGCGGCGACGACCGCGCCGCCACCGCCGCCACCCCCTCCACCTGCGCCCAAAGAGCTCTTCTCACTGAGCGAGCAAGTTAGCGCTGGTACTTCGGCGTGTTTTCCCACGAACGCCTTTAGTGCAACAGCTGGAACGACGTACGGCTTTTCATTCGATGTTAGCCCAGACATGATCGTGAGCATTGAGACAGGGTCAACAGACGAGGGATATCACCAATCCAAGGGACCATGGACAGGCACCTTCCTCGCCCAGTCAACTTCTTCGGTCAAGATCTGCGGATCTGGCGGGTCAGGCACTTTAGCCTTCAAGATCACTGAGGAGCCCTCCGAGGCCGTCAAAGCACCAGCCGGCAAGGAGGTCTTCAAGTTGGACGAGAAGGTTGCGAGTGGAACGACGTCTTGTTTCCCGACTACTGGTCTGAATATCCAAGAGGGAAACTACGGGTTTTCATACACCACCTCCGATGGCATCGAAATTCAGATCGGAGACGATAGTTCTGGGCCAAAGTATTTCACTGGAAACAGAGCCTCGGGTGCAGGATTGATGTACATTGACTTCTCGGGGGGTAGTATCTCGATTTGCGCGACAAACAACGGTGGTTCAGAGGCACCTCTTTCTTTGACTATGACCCAGTAACGTATATAAATTAGAAGAATGCATAGATGATTCAATGATTGGATATGATGAGCGATGTTGAGATCGATTGGTTGCGCCGATGGAGTTAGTGGGGATTGCTGCAGCTGCAGCTGATGTGCTAGCCCCCCCTTGCGGAGATCCTGTTGATAGCAAGCTATTGCTTTAATGGCGTTAGAGTTTTGCCTGCTGAGTTCTCATCTCTGGTCCGGCCTCACACTGACAACAGATACTCTGGAGGTCTTGGTACCTTTTAACAGGAGTCTGAACTGGGAAGAGATGCGTCTTCTCATGCATGGTTGCGATAACAAAGACGTCCACTTGTGTTGCATACCGGTTTTGAATGAACCACCCTTCTTTATTACGCATAGAATGAAACAGAATTGCTAAATCAACACATTGAAGTACCGCAATCAGAGCCAGTCAGCGCAAAGACAACCCCAATGTACAAATGGACGGGCAACATACTATGCAGTGGAACTGCCTGGGCTTGCTGGATAATGTGAGCATGCTGGGCTTAATCATGGGCCTGTTTGTAAAAGTGACAAGCGGACGTTCGTTGCGAGCAGTTATGTTGATGCTGTGACTTGATTTGAATGAGCGGAGGCTGCTAGAAGCTCCATCGCACGGCGGGGTCGTGTTCATGTTGGGTCTGGCCTCAACCCAGCCGAATTGGAACATTTGAGAGGGGGGGGGGGGGGGGGGGGGGGAGAACTCCAGGCGGCGTGAGATGTGGGCTGGGTGTTATCCCTATGGACAAGGCTCACAAGGAAGTCACCTTTGAAAAGTTCTGACGGCTCTTGAAGGTTCCAGATGCGGGCGGGCCAAAAGCCGAGGACAAGCTCTTGATATGTTTCCTTTTTTGGCATGTTTTGATTCAAAGAAGCCAAAGAGTATCCCACATTAGTAGCAGCTACAGGTTGGTGTGCAGTGACTCAAAATGTAAACGGAAGGACGCATAGCACATCAGCCTTCGCGCTTTCTCTTGGGGCGTCGCAGTCTGGTGGGCAGGCGGCGAGATGAAGCAAGTGATGGCGTCGCGTTGAGTCAAGTACAGTCGAGGAAGTCACGCCGCACCGACGTGCCTTCTATTCCGGGCCTGCCTGCTTGCCTACCTTACCTAGGTACTTAGACCTTGCAACCAGCAGGCACCCACCTACCCACGCGCAACCTTACCCAGCAAGTTCAACAACGCGATTGCCTCATATTAGAGAAGGCTCGCTTCTTTTCCCCTCGGAAAGAACACTTCCTGGCTCTGCGACATTGCCTCTTTTCAGCCCCGGCCGCCGCTTTGAACTGCGACAGAAGCCAAGGTTGCCACCACTCGATCAGCGTCACTTCGGCCCCAGGACTGCTCTGACTCTCTCAAACATCGCCGGCAGCGTATCAATTCCCAGTCGCAGAAGCCAAAAGGTATGTGTTGCTGCCCTCTGAGGTATGCCTTTCCACTGGACTTCTTCTAATACTGCTTTTCTAGCGATGGAGGCTGAGCCAAAGCCCGTTGCCGCCCCAAAGGAGAATGACGGTCTCAAACAAGGCTACATCCGCATCATCATCACAAACTGCGTTGCAACAGACGAGACTGCCTCCGCGTTGTTGGACCAGCTGCAGGCTCTGGAACCGCTGGTCGCCAAAGGTTCTACCTGCAGAACTTTCAAGGGCAACAGCGAAAAGATACTCATCGAGGCAGCCACATGCTGCGAGATCACCGCGGCAGCTATCGGCGACTTTGAAACCACGATTCAGAATGTTTTGCCGGAATCCAGCTACGAGATCCACGTCCGCCCCCTGGGAGGCCCCCGTTTCCTTCCCTATGTCTAGATGGAGATACCGAGACATGGACTCGAAAGGGGCTGGAGAGAATTACGGGCTGGATGCATAAGTGGGTGGAAAAAGCAGGCAGTTGGGCAGTGGGCGGGCGTGTATTGAAGCGGGGGAACATAGATGTAGTTTTCTATGCGAGAACTCATAACCAATCCCAAAGTTCGTTCCAGAAGTCGCCATATCCCCAATGCCAGACCGCGATCATCCCTTTTTTGTCGACGATGTCTCTGATCTGGTCCCCATGTGCGTGGAGTTGGCGATGGCTACATCAACGGGAGAAAGACCTGACCGCGCGACCAGAGGCCATGTGATGCCATCGACCTGGACCGGGAAGGATACACCTACACATTGTATTCTTTTTGGAGTAAACACCGACGGTCAACGAGGAGACCAGTCACTACACTTCTGCCTCCCTCTCGGATTCCACGCCGTTCAAAGGCACGTGCTGTCCGTTCAAGGTCTCATCTCTTCCCGGTCCCAAGGAAAGGATGCTGCCCCCTCTTATGACAATGCGGTCTTAGGTCTTGCTTCGTATCGTCATCACCCTTCTCTTTGTCCATTGAGCGTCGAGACAGCCATCGTCAGAGCTCCTTACTAAACGCTCCTTTGCTGATGGTAGCTTCGAAGTGGAAAGTGGCCCTGAAGTAGTGGTAGCTCCTGGGAAAACTGCCAAGCAGTAGCTTTCGTTGGGGCAGAGTCGGGCTTTTCTCACATCCTCGGGCCATTGGAGGCGCAAGGAAAGGACGCTGAGATGCACTCACTGCCCATGCAGGTGCCGTATAAGCAAGGCCGAAAGTCTTGGCGCTGGAAGCGACGGAGCATCTCCGCCATGGAAGCAGTGGGTTCGCTTTCCCTGGACCGGCCTGCTGTGATTCAATGGTATCAGATTTGGTCAATCGAGATGGTGCTGTATTGTGCTTTGAAAGTAACGGTGTAACTCGCGGGTGGTGTGTGGTTGGGCGCTTGAGGTTTGCGGAAAGTGAAGACCGCCATCGTCTCCCTCTGGGATGGTTATATCGGAGCTTACTTGACCGCTCATCGCCATCCTCGCCCGTAAGGGGCTACAATGTACACCTTCTAGATTCCCGCCTGCCCCAAATCAACCCGCAGCCTCCACCGAATCTTCGCCGCAGTAGCTCTCTTTCAAACATTTCGACAATTCTGGCTCCTCACCGTCAGCGGTTACCGACGATCCCGAGTCACTCTTTTGGTCAGACTCCAAGTCCTCCGATTCTCCGTCCATCTCATTGATATTGCCGTTGTTATCTGTCGTGAAGAACTCCAGCGCTGCTGGTCCCCAGGCATCGGGCTTCGTGGCCTGGTCAATGTCGCAGAAGAAGATGGTTTGAGCAGTCTGATATCAGAGGCGTTAGAGTTAGAGAAGTTGGAAGTTGAGGGAAAGGAGAAGAAAGGAAATAGAACCATCGGCACGGTCCGACTTACCAGCCTTGAGCTCTTATCCTGGGCCTCGCACCATTCTCTCAGACCTGATGTGGTCACGCGGCCTTGGAGGACGTTCTTCCAGACACCATCGTCGAGGGAAGACGTCTGCACATCCTTGAGAACAGCAGGCGACGTATAGAAATGGACACTGATGTCGAGACCGTGGCCGAAGACGGTGGTAACCTTGTCCTGAGTCAATGAGCGCAGAAGCCTCGACAGTACTTCAGTCGAGACAAGGAGAACGGTCGGGGCAAAGGGCGGCAAGGCTTTATTTGCGTCATTGCCGAAACAGGCCAGAAAACCCAGCAGCTGAGCCCAGTCGTGTTCCTTTGTCGGCAGCAGCGATGTCTTGAACTGGGTTGTCAATAGCCTGGGTCCTGCCATCGTGGAAGTAGGACACAGCCTGTGTCGTCTGGTACTGCGTCGACAGTGTTGAGTTGAGTGCGGAAGGAGCTTGGACGAGGTAGCTGCCCGAGCCAAGGTAGGCAGGTTGGTGGCTGGGTTTGTGGGTAGGGTGCTTTCAGGTTGTTGTTGTTGATGGAATGGAAAGGAAGTAGGAATCTACTTGAGCAGTCGCAGTGAATGCGAAGTGACTGTCGAGTGGGTTTCAACGCAGCGCCAGCAAGACCCAGTGGTCGCCCAGACGTGCCTGCCCCATCCGGGCCTTCCACAGCAGTGTCAACAAACACTCCCGTCTGTTACGGCCAACCCACCTGGCCAAAACTTGAACATACCTTATAGGAACATCCTCGTGGTGTTGTGTCCTACTCAGAACTATATGTGCTTCTTTGCCTTTATAATTCCTCTTGGTATCAACAATATACAGTGCCAACGCCCTCTAGAGCTTTCTGTTCTATTTGGATCTGCCGCAGAGAGACTGGGCGAATATTCTGGTTTGCATGCATCAAGTGTTGAATCGCATCTCCGTGAGACTTGATAGCCGTTTGATCCAGCTGTTCTTCAACGAAATCGAGCCTCCAACCGATATACTGATACATCACACCTTCCCAAGCTTGGGTTATGGATGGTTTCATGGCAAACTTCCATGTGCCCTTCCAAAGAACTACTGCTTGCTGGATGTTGCGAAACGTCTGATACCTAAAGAGCGCTGCTAATCCCTTTCGTCCGTTCCAAATCTCCATAGTAACCAGCTGGGGCATTCTCATAGCTGCTGCTGCCGCTGCCCGAAGCATTGCTTCAATTTCAACCAGATCCCCCTCCGGCGTGAGTAACCTTGAAGTGAGAGTAAGCGAGGTAAGGCTCGGCCACTCCCAAGCGGGTTGGATCTCGAAGAAACTGCCGGCATCCACGATAAAGAATACTGCGAGATGCTCCAGTTTGAGACTGGCGATCCGGCTTACGGCTGGATCTCTCTGGGCAAGTAGTGCCATGTTGACCACTGTTGCTTCTTGTTGGGTGGCGTTGGAAGCATCGTGGCATTTAACCCATAGTTCGGCGATGGAGGAGTGTACGTAGGAAGTCTTGAGATGCGAGATTATGCGTTGGACAAAAACTATAAGAGTATCCGGCAATTATCAGGTGAACAGAACGATATGTTGTGAACTGGACTTGTTGCTACAGTAGTTGTGTGGCGGAGCTGGGAACTTGCAACTCGTTCGGTACAGAACTTCTTTCACACAGGAGAGCGACCCTTTCAACCTTACAGCAACTTTCTAGCGGACCTTGGCAGCTTGGGAGGGACACTTCGCTTGTGGGCCCTCGGTTGACCAAAGGGGTACCCGCGAGTGTGTCGTACGTTTTTAGGAACATTCATGATGTCATGGCTAACGAGGTAGTATGAAGGACAGACCGAGCAAATATCGACTTTGAGCTCGTACTCTAGCTGGTCGAGGGATCATTAAAGTTGTAGGTAGACGTGTATTGGATCTTGGAATGCGCCGTCCGTGAGAATGCCAGCCAGGTGGTTCATGCTGACATGAGATGAGGGGGAGATCGAGTCGCACGCGCCGTTCACGCGTTTCTGGCTTGTAACTAGATGTCAGTGTCACTTCCGTAAAAGGGTACAGAGTAAGACACCATATCTGGATCGCACCATCCATGATGATTGTCGTGGACTTGCTCGAAGAGCCCATTCAAGAAAACCAACAGGGGCAGAGATCATCGGTTGGTCATCTGAATGATCGGAATTCTGACCCGGGGGACTAATGCCCAGCCGTTCCACTCGATGTAAATATCTATTGCCTCAAAGGGTGCTGCGTCATCTACCTATGAACGTATCAAACGAGCTAACTTTGTGTCTCCTGTCTGAGTCACATAGACTATTGGCAAGCGTCGATTTTCGCGTGACAAATTGGTTCTGGGCGTTCTAGGACCTTTCATCAAGGCATAGAGGGCATATTTGGGGGTGTTGTTACGAGTGCTGCCAGCCCCTATGGCCCCAAGTCTTTTCGCCGATCGCAACTCCTCGCCTCTGCATCTGGTCTACATTTAACCGCTTCCGTGGTACCCGTGCACATCGACTTAATGCAGGTGATTTGCAACCTGTCTCTTGCGTAAAACTTCAACATTGGCGGGTACTCATGACGCATGCACGCACTCTACTTCTTCGTTATTGTTACCAGAGGCAGGTAGGGTGATACGGACCTCTCGTGACACTGGAATAGCTAGGAGGCCTCCACTAAAGTGAAAGCTTTTTATTCAAAAGCCACAGGCACCGTGTCCAACAGAGTTCGACCAGTCTTCAAGCCACCGCATCTACGGACATATTCGGTCAACCTTGGAAACACACCATCTACTTAAATTGTCGACGAAACGCCTTCATTGTTGCGCTGTCACATCACTTTTTCCCCCTTCTTCAACTCATTCATTATTCAGCATGGAGAACAGTCGTCGTAAGTCATCTTCAGGCAGCCACCAGGGACGCAGTGTAGGTGTCAAGAACACAATCTAACAATTGACTACAGCGCCGATCGGGGGCCCTACGGCAGAGACAACCCCGTTCCAGGGAGGTGGCCTGATGGAAGAATTGATTGGTCACCAGAGCGCGTGCCAAATTGGCTGCGATGGATGCTCCCAGGACAGCCAACAAAGCGTCACGGTATGCGGCGACGATTGCCATGACCACGGCGATAACACCGTGTCTGTCCCTGTTGTTGACAGGAACTCCAACACCATTTACCCTCCCTCCTGCGATTCTTCTGCTCATGGTGGCTATGGGTTAGCGGTATCAGCCCAAGGGCCTGCTTCCCAAGACCCTGCTTCAGCCCAGTTACCGACACTGAATTATCAGCCAACCAAGTCTTACTTCACCACAGATATGGCTGCGAGTAGGGGCTATTTTGATCCTATCCATTCGGCTAGCTGGGTGCCTAGCTATGTGCCTAGCTACTCCTTTCCGCCCGTTCCTACTCGGTCTCTACTTCCACCTGGGCCTCCCGTTACACCAGATTCACCTACGTCTTCCGTTCCGCTTAGGTACGTGAACAATGAATCACCCCCTCGTGTCGGCAACGATCATCACATCCAACATGATTTTTTCACATGGTGGCTCGATGAGAACCAAGACCTTTCCCCCGATAAGGATGTTGAATATTACAGCGGCGACGAGTCGTCGTATGTCTACTCCTCGGAAGAAAGCGACTCTTGCTCCAACGAGGAGGAAGAGGAATGGAACTCCTCTGATGAGCTGGATTGGGAAGGGTTCCAGGAGTTCTCCGCCCCCTTATTCAAGGAGTACGCCATTGAGACTACGATGGGGAACGAACACACGACAAACGAGACCTCCGACGATGATGAGAGCCAGGAAGAAAGCCAAAGGTTGGCCAACGGCCCCGATAGCCGCATAAACACGTCTGACGTAAGTAGGGAGTGCACGCCGTCTCATGAGAATGGCTATGATGATGTGGTGTTCCTCTATGCGATTGAGAAGTCTGAGATTGAGCACGTCGGTCGTCAAGGTAAGCTTTTAACCCCAACTTGGTTGCATCCCCTTTACCTAAGTAAGTGGTTGTTACTAAAACTCTATACCAGGCAATCCCAATGGTAAAACGACGATGCGTGCCTCTGGCGCATGCAAGCGCAAATTAGAAGCAGAAGAAACTGTAGAGAAGCATGAAGACAATGACAGCAACAATGAGAACCCGCGGGCGACTAAGCGGGTATGCATTGCCCAAAGGCCCCGAGCGAAGGCCGATGGGGATGAAATTCGTTTTCTCGAGACAAGTGAGATCTTGGCCGGCACGCCCAACCACTGCGGCATCGACTCTGTTTGCAACGATGACATGCCGATCATGAGCCGGAGTGATGAACAGAATAGTGAGCAGCTATATCACCAGCTCGAACTGATCTGTGAGCTGTCTCGAATGGGGTCAGGGATTGCCAGCTCAGATGCCCCTATCTATAGTAGCATCTGCAACGCCATTTTGGGCATGGCGGTGGCAGCTTTACATGCAGCCGACAGCGAGGGACTTCTGGAACGATTCGAGTCGGGGCGCTCGGAGGCAAAGGAGAAGGTTGAGGTCCGTAGTCCTGCGAGGGCGAATGAAGAGATTGGCGGCCTGGAGGTTCCCGTTGGGAAACCTACCAGCGAGGACCTTGGGGATATCTATTCAAGTTCGGGTTAAGTGTTTATACGCATGTTCTCGGTTGAGATTTCTTTAGCTGTAATCGTAAAATTTTGAGTCAGGCTTTGATTTTGACTTGCTCATAAATGATGATCTGCCTCGACTCCAAAGGCCCCACTGCGAGGGAAGCTTTTGTTGAACTGCGACAGGTTGAGTACGTGCCATTAGGGACCTTGACGGACTCTGGAACTAGACGCGACAGTTGACAACAAACGATGAGCACCTTGCGGAGGCCATGTCTACTCCCTCCGTCAGCACGGCGCATTTTGCCTCGCCGCTCAACCAGACGCCGACGCCACCATCACTGCACTCGCGGCAATGTTGTGTCGCCTCTCCACTCACCCTCCTCCCCTTGACCGATGAAATGGCAGGCTCCTAGTATCTTTGTATCTAGCGATCTCTTTACAAAGAAAATCTTCCATGGAGAAGGATCTTGGCCCAGTGAAGTTGCAACAAGGGTAATTTCCAAAGGTGCTTCCAGCTGAAAGTATCTGGATGGCTAGACCTCAGTCTGGATCGACTGTGTTAAACTGGGTTCCACATTTTCCCGCTGATAATGTAGCAGACCAGGTGGTTTTCGATCAAACTTGGCTCTCATAATCTATCGCTCATGCCCGGTCCGATAGAGCTGGAGCAGTGTCGCAAATAACTTCCGGCAAAGTCCACACTCAGCCTTCAGGAGAACACGCCAAGATTGCCACCTGGACCTACAAGAAAGAAAGGAGGGTTTCAGCGTCAAACTCGCATACAAAAGATATTTCGTGTGGTATCACGCAGAGGGGTTAATCTAGAGTCCGAATGTTCGAACAAATTATGATTTTGGCATTTCTTGAGTATGGGCCATGTTGCAAGCCACGGCGCTGCTCTGGTTGGATTGGGAAACCTTGACCCCTGAGACCATCAGCAACGAGAACCTCGCGACAGGAAACAATGGAATGCTCGCACTCGACTGCGAGCTTGCACTTCTTGTGGTAAATTGGATCTATCATCTCCAACGGCGGTGTTTCGGGTCCTGCTCAGGAAGATTGACTGGGACATTCATGGCTCATCAGTCGTCTTAGTAATCATCAGCTCGAGTTCGGGCTGATTTATCTTTTTACATTTAGCTTTCATTGCAAAACCGCAAATCGTCATTCTTTGTTCAGTGTTCTTTACCCATAGCAAGGCCAAGTATGCACAGCAAGGCTTTGGGTCAAAAACAAGTTCAATCCCCCACGCGAAGGACATTGCAGTCTTTGACCGGTGATTCTTCCATAATAAAGTATGAGTACAGCTTCACACGAAAGTCTTTAACCGGATCCCCATCTTGATTACTCTGGTGGCTGCTGCTTGGTTTTGTACAAAGAATCTTCAACTTTCATTCCATAGCTTCCCAGCGAGAAGCAATTTGAGCAGTAGTCCTCTGCCAGGCCGGTCTGCTGCTAACACTCTTCCACCAAGAAGTCAAGCTGGGCAGGTCTTGGAGAAACTCGGGGTCAGTCTCCAGCAAGCAGTAAATGAAGATTGCTGACCAAACATCTATCAGGGAGAAATTGTTGCCTGTTAAGTACTCCCGCGCAGACAATATGCGGTCGAATACTTGCAAGTTGGCCTTTACCTGGTGCAGAGACTCCTCGATTGCCCCCGGGTCAACTGGAACGCCAATTTTCCTAATATGACACGTAAGTCAAAGTCCTCCTTTTGCAACTGCAACAAGACTGATTGAGCTACGTACGGGTGCACGACTTTCTGCTTCAGATACGTGATAGATGACGCGGCAAGATACGAGGACTCAAAACACGCGGCCTCCTCAAACCGAGCGACGGCTTTGTGATCCTCAACGTTGGGCAGAAGAGCAGTGCCCTCACTGGCGTACTTCACCGCCAGCCAGCGGGAAATAGCTCGGCACTCTGTGCCATGCCACATCTGGTCAGCACAAGAGTCTCGACTTGTTACCTTGAGTGAGTGCGGCTACCGCAGACTTTCGTGATGTTTCCATCAGCGTCAATGTCCTCCACGATGGGCACTTTCCCGAATGGGTGCTTGGCATTCATAAGATCCCGCTGCATGCAACGAATCATCAGCAGTTGGACGGGTCAGAAGATCTGACTGCCATTGTCATTGTGGCTAACTACGTAAAGACTCATACCTTGGTTTCGTGGCTGAAGAGCTTGACGTCGACGTGTTCGAAGGACAAACCCTTCTCATGAAGCGTGAAAAGACAAATAATGGTGAAGGGTGAGAAGAAGTCTCCGTACAACTTGATAATTGAAGTCATTGCAAGGGAATTAACTGATGCTGACTTGATGAGGCAAAGACAGCAGTGAGCTAACACAACACGGGTCACAGAAGAAAACCTGGCAGGTGACCAAGACGGGTGAAGGGAAACTTAAGATTCAAGATACGAGTGAAACAAAGATGGAGATTGTTCGGATTTTCCGGACCATTCCGCGTTCTCTTGGCAAGATACGCATACCGTCTCACCATTTGGCTGCCAATGTGATAAGTGAGACCCCGCTTCAGAGGGAATCCGATCTGCGGAACAGCACCGGGGCCGGTGCAAAGTTTATATCCATCCGGCCCCACATTCCGCAGGAGTTGGTCATTCCGAGATTTCGACTTGACACATAGAATTGAGCTCGTCCTAAGAGACTCCTCGTTGAAAACGCTTCGATGGACTTATTCTAAAGTTGAATTTGTGGCAGTCTCTAGTTGATCCAAGCCAAAGGACCCCTTCGTAGGTAGTCCCCTTCGTAGGTAGTCCCCGTTGTAGGTAGTCTTGCGCTCGCTCCACCCAAGTAGGGACCATGCCGGATCCCATACAATGAAATTAGGGTGGCCATGTTTAAGTGATTGCCACATGGCCATAGAGACTGTAGTAAGTATTGATGGCGCTTTTCAATTCTGGTTGTCATACACAGCTTGTATCTTCCTGGGAGAGGATGAGTCGGTAACAGCCGTTCGATTGCGGCGTTCGCATGTTCCTTTTCGTCACACATCAGGAGCTGGGTGCAGCTCCGGTGGCGCGCAAAAGAATTTATGAAAACACGATAACGATCAATTTCATATTAACTACAAGACATCAGAGCTTCGTGCAGAAGATTTCCACAAGGCCACGGCCTAAATTATATTGAACTCCGGGGTATCGTCGACCGCTGTGGTCCTGCCAAAGAGCCCTTGAAATTTGGAGAAGAACGCCAAAAGCTTCAGCCACTGACCCGCTAAGAACAAGAATGCCCTCGAGGATACCTCACTGGTGTTCAAGGGCTTCGCTGAAGTTAGCTTAGAGCGCCCGAAACGGGTAGATGGCTTTAACCACAGTGAAATGGCATCTCAACTTACAATGAAGTTATCACCGCCGCTCTTTCTCACCCAGTCAAACGCTCGGGGTATCATCTCACTCTCATACTGAATGACTGCCTTGGCCATTTCTTCAGTCGACACGCCATTCTTGCCGGAATATTGGCTCGCTAACCCTGTCAAAAATGGAAGTATCTTGCCGGCGTCATACATGGCTTGATTTCCGCCCTGGCCACTGTGCATCGGTTAGCGGATGCTCTGGTGGGGGCGAAGATCGAGAGTTTTGGGGAGGATGTTACCCCCACAACTTCGTCTGGCGCCGAGCGGGATTCCGAAAGGGGACGGTTGCCGGCAGGCGTGAATACTGAACTCACCGAGGCGGTAGCATGGCGTGAATAGCGTCGCCCATTAGCCAAATTCGAGGGTGACCGAGCTCTGGCTTATCTTCCGTCCGGATGTTCTGCCGCCAGTTCTTAACCGGTCGCTTTGCCACCCTGGGCACATAGATGTGGAGAGGAGCGCCTCTCATAAGGTCAATCATCTCGTGGCTGTTCCCGTGTCAGTACAAATCCTTCTGATCTCGCGCAAAGGAAAGTAACAGCGCCAACGATCTGGACTTACAACGGTGCCGCCCAATCCTTGATGACTTCCGCAAAAAAGTCGTATTGCCCGTCTAGAGAGCGCTCATGAATATCCTTTGGCAACATTTCTCTCGTGACAGCTAGGCTGAGCATGCACGAGGCTTCGTCCTCGTCATACTCCCGGCCTGCTTTCTTTCCTTCTTCCCCGACGTTCCTATTCGGAAGATACACTAATGATACTTTTTAGCGAAGGGTCTAAAATGGGAATCACGGCGAATGAGGTGGGGCTGGGCCGACATTCCTCCTTCTCTATGTGTGGTTGCCACTTACCTCCGAAAAAGATATGCCTGTTATCCGCCCAGCACATCACTGGCCCACCAAGCAACTCCTTGGACATGGTCGCGAACCGTTGGACTGGTAGACTACATTTGGCGGCGAGGGTTACATGCCTGGGGATGTAGTCGAGACTCTCAAGGCCGACCAACTTGTTAACCTTCGAGTAGCCACCATCCGCCCCGATGAGGACGTCACAGTCGTCGTAGGATCCGTCACTCAGCCAGACGCGGACCCTCTCATCGTTGGAGCCGGGGTTCAAAATTTCGTAACGCTCCATGGCGGTGTCGTACTGAAGCTTGCCAGCCTCGTAAAGGGGGTCAGCGAGACAATCGCGTAAGAGGCCCCGTGTGATAGGTGCGTTTTTGCCGTAGGCTTGGAAGCGGCTCAAATCCATGAGCTGCGTCCAGTCTTTGTGGAAGATTCGGGGGGCTTCAGCCTTAGCCTCAGTGGCTGGGCCGAACTTCTTGATAATGGACAGCATGTGGTCGGTCTCGAGACACGCCCGCATGCCAGCCAATGCCGGTGATGTGAGGCGGATTTGAAGACCTTCACGCGTGGAATGACGTTCCGCGCGCTCGTAAACTTTCACGTCTACACTGTCCTTCATGAGCCCGCAGCCAAGAAGATTGCCCGCGAGGCCGCCTCCGATGATAACTACCCTGAAAGGCATGTTGTTAAGGCAATCAGTCAGACTGTCTGTTGAGAAGATGATGGTCGTGTAAAATTGATAAATTTCAAAGAATCTGGGTGCATGTCTTACTACACTGTTTCCAAGTGCTGAAGGAGCTGATTGGAGCTGCTTTTGTACAGCCTATCTAGCACACTCGTATTCAACAGCATACAAACAAAGGTTCCCATCTAGCCTGTGGGGTAAGCTGAGGTTACTCGGGACCGAGCAGTATTGCCCGCCCATCCATGCAGAGAAGGTGACGGATTGTGCCGCATATGCTGATCTGTAGTTCGTTAGCTGACTAGTCATCAAGAGATTGGAAATTCCGGACCGGCATTTCCGGCGTTTCATCTGGTAGAATGTCAGTGATCGTACCAGGAGCAAGACTAAAGCTATGTACCTTGCTTCATCGCTAGCGCACTAGAAAGTTAACCTTTTTAGTATAAGCAGACATAAATAAACTAAATATCTAAGGAAGACGTATGCGAAGAGCTCATGAAAGGAATACATCGAAAGACCGCGCAGTCACTGTCAAAACTATTCATTTGGCTTATTCTATTAGCTAAGCTCTCTGTAAACTCTTTTTGTCTTTCTTCCTCCTCGAGTTGGATTCAAAGATAATGGCGGCGACTTTGCCATACGAAGGTCCGTTTCTACGTCTCTCAGCTGACTACTTCACGGACGATTTCTCACGGTTATTCCGCGCAGATTACGTTGCGTTGTCAGGACTAGTGCTCGACTGGGTCGACAGCTATGACAGCAAGGCATGTGTAACTCTTTAGCACGTCAGCTAATGGCTGCTAATCAACTCCCATTTTCCTTCTCGGGAACCATGTCAATGACGGAATTCTAATACTACATCGTCGAGATAGGACTGGGACAGGCTGAAGACCATCCTAGCGCCAAAACTCACGGTAAGTTTTTAGATCCCCAGCCATCTCTACATGAGGACTGTCAAAGCACCCATCAAAGCTGAGCAAATTCCAAGGTCGATTACAGCAGTATTGGAGGTCCGAAGCATAAGAAAATGGCAGCGGAAGACTTTGTCGCCGTGATTAGCGGCCCCGAGATGTTTGGCGATGCTTCACTGGGTACACAGCACCTCATTGGCGCCTCCAAGTGGGAGAGGGTTGATGAGAACAAGGTTGTTGGCCACCACCAGATGCGCTCCACATCCGTACGCCTGACTGGCGCCGACAGCGGGGAAGGAAAGGTCGAGGCGGATCGGAGGGTTGTTGTCATGCAGTCTTACGTTAAAGCCGACGGAAAGTGGAAGTTAGCTGGGCTGAAGCCGATGAGTCGCTGAGGAATCGAAGATTACTTCTTCAGAGGACTTTCAATCATTTTGGACAGTAACGCGGCGAGTACCTATGGTGCGCACTGTATCAGCGCCATGTACAAGGGGTCTAATCTCGCTTGGTCGCAGCACGGTCTTGTCAACTAATCTCGTATTGACCTACTCGCATGCTCATGATTCATGTTTGAGTGAAATATTGGCCAAGCTCTGTACGATCTTTCGTATATCCATTCACGAGTGGTTTCGGTACTGCAAGGTTACAGCATGCCAAGCATACTGCGGTACATGTACTTGCGGCTCGGAACAGAATGCCAGCCCTTTTCTCGGGAACTCCTTGCCACTTACCGTCAGGTTGTGCTATTCTGCAACAATAGCAGGGGCGAGCCATTGCCATGACACTGACCGGGTGATGAGCGTCAGATTTACTGAGCGACAAAGGGTTGGGTATTGGCACTGCTCGGATAATCTAGAGAACCTGGAAAGTTGCAGACAGTCCTCCTGTTATAGCTTAAGGTCGTTGTAGTCACCTTACGTGACTCAACGGCCATTTAAAGATGTACCAACCGTCAATATTTAACGTGCACCAAAGTAGACGATATCAGCCAGATCACAACACATGCGTTAAAAGTCTATTTCTCGCTTTTTGGTGAAATTTTCTCCCCTCATCTTGTGGACTCAGTGTCATCCCAATTGTTATTCCATCATGGCTTCAGCTCCGACCTCTGTCGCGCTGCCCGCGACGGCCAGCGCTGTAGCAGACCCAAAGGTTCGTCAATATTTTGCAATCTTTATCAAAACCCAGAACGAACATGTACTCTCCAATTTGGAGACTTCATACTGACAGACACTCCCTTATATAGTCATGGCCTCTCTGGTGGCGTCTCTGCATGTTGGGTTCTCTCAGCTGGTTCGTACTGATGGGCCAAGTCATGAGTGCTTCACTTCCACCAATGTTGGGGCCCATCATGTATGAATTGCACGTCCGTGCCGCGCAAGCTTCCCAGCTGGCAAGCTGGGCTGTTCTAGCCCTCGGCTTTGGTGTAAGTCGTTCTGGATTTGTCCCTTTCGCACCTGATCTCGCTGATACGCCAAAATCAGAACATATGGGCTGTTCCCGCAGTCGCCAGCTTTGGTGCCAGATACACGATAATCTTCGGGCTCGCAATATTTTCGGGAGGCTTCTTTTGGCAAGCTACTTCCGAAAGCTACGATTCCCTGCTAGCAGCTCGCATTATTGGCGGCTTGGGAGGCGGCGTTGTCGAGTCCATGGGCCCCATGATTGTCGTGATGTTGTTTCCGCCGGAGTATCTTGGTCGGGCTATGAGCGTCTACACCTGGTCACTCGGCGCCGGCACCGTCTTTGGTCCCCTCTTCGCTGGCTACATGATTGCGGGACTCGGTAGCTGGCGTTCTCCGCAGTATCTTTTCGGCATCATGTCAATACTCAATATGGTCGGCACAATCCTCATGTTCCCCGAGCCTATCATGAACATACGCGTCCGAGGGGAACCGCCCCTACTCTCTGCCCCAGACTCGAGCTGCGGAGACGAAGCCCCGGTAATCTCTAAGAAAGGACGGGAGACAATCAGTATGGAGAATCTAGGCGGCGAACGGTCTGTGCAAGATGAGCAGCGCGAGTTTGCTGCGCCGCCAATCCATCCAGCGTCTTGGATAAGCCTCTGGACGACGCGGTCCTTCTTTTTGCGTTTTACGCACCACCATTCGGTCAGCGGCTGGCTGTCCATGGCCATGGCACCATACCGCATGCTGGCTGTGCCTGCTGTGGTGCTCACCGTCTTGCTTTTTGGTGTGTCCATCTCCACCAACATAGCAACCTCCATCCTCGTTTCTTTGGTATTCTCACAGCCCCCAATGTTGTGGTCCACTGATCTTGTCGGACTGTTCAACCTGTTTGTGCTCGGAGGTCTCTGCTCAGGGATCCTCATTGGCGGCCTGCTGTCCGACAAGATGATCGCCTCATTCACTCGGCGCATGGGGTACCACAAGCCCGAGTCGGCGTTGCCACTACTGCTACCGCTTGGCATCGTCATCCCGTTGTCTACTGTACTGATCGGGTACGGATTGGCATATGGATGGCACTGGGCCGCTATAGGCGTGCTCTGGAGTGTCGTCAATGTGAACATGACATCCGGGTGTACTATCCTGATATCGTATGCGACCGACATTTACGCGGCTAAAGCCATAGACATTGGCGTCGTTGTCAACGTGCTGAAGAACGCGATCGCAGCCGGCATCTCATTTGCTGTAGTGGATTGGTGGACGAAGGACGGCTGGTACATGTTCCTTGCAGTGGCTCTTGTCAAATTCCTCATTTTTGTCTTGGTGGCGCCCCTATGGATTTGGGGCCCCAAGATTGCTCATGTGACGAAGTCTTGGAGGTGGCTTCAAGGACATATCGTAAACTGAGAATCTCCCAGGGCGCAGTCATTGGCCGCGGTTGGGACCAACGTGTATGTTGTCCACGGGCGCTAGATATGGCTCGCCACATCCTCAATGGGTATCCCTTCATGACATGACCTGGGATCTGTATTTGTGTCGTCCCTTGGCCTAACTAGCCTATCCTGCAACTAGTCATGATGCTTGCTGTCACAATCGCTCAGCGCGATATAGCTAGATCTGAGAAAGTCGCTTCAAGCAGCAAAAGAAGCTGGGATGCCTGTCACGGCACGGAGTGGGGGGTGGAGGGAGGGGCCGCGATGGACTTGGCGGGGCCGAAGATCTGCACGTGGGCAGGGAGCTCAGAAACTTTAAAGTATTTGCCCCGGCCTGTGGTGGGGTTCATCCGAACCTATCATGTCCCGTAGTTCATGCATGAACATTTTAAAACCTTGGATATATTCACTGTGTCCGTGACGCGTAACACATGGTGAAATACACGTATCAATACAGACGTTTTGACCCCCGACTTTCCTGCCAAGTTTACAAACGCTACAGTTTCACTGGCAAGTTCTGTAATCTTCCACGCCGCATCAGGTACTGTCAATTGCTACGGCTCAAGATGATCTTTTCAACTCTCCAGAGGCCATTCTGCCAGGGTCATTTTAGAGTTTCGAACAACTTAGCAGTCTTACAATCATTTACCGCCAAACAGAACTCCCCGGAATTTCCGAAAACCTGCCCTGGGATGTTCCGACGGCGTCATAAATACTTTCGTAGAACGGCTGTATTTCAATGACAGACAAGGGCAGCCGGTCTACTGTGGATTCCTATGTTATGTAAGCCATTTTGTGGCATGATATTTCGTGCTTGAACGTGTTCCGTCTAGTCTGGAAAGCGGGGGTCGCCGGGGGATGACACGAAGCTCGGCTTGTCTTTGGAGGGAATCTAGCCTGGTTAATTGCCTTATCTATAACGTGCTTTTTTGTGGTGCGAAAGACAACAGCACCTGGAAACGACAAGTTGACCGTAGAATCTGCTTCAATACCGTTCTCAAGTGAAAGCGGTGCGTTGCAATTGGAACAATCCTGTTGGTCACGTCACGCCTGGCGGTGCTGCATTTCCAGCCCGCTGCCTTATCGCATTTTCCTTTTCCCCAGCCGCTGTGTACAACCAATATGCACGTGAGGACCGTAGCAGGTTGAGCGTGCAAGTAAACTACTTCTCAATGTTTGCAGTCTCTTCTGCCAGTCCATTTTCTTTAGAAGACCCACCCAATTGCGGCAGTTTCTCTGCTTTTTCCATTCGCACCATCTCAAAGACACAATTAGGCGACCGGGCTGTGGTCAATCCACTCCGCAGAAAACATAGGGTGTGCCTTGCAGAGTAGCCAGGATAAGCTGGAACCGGCTGGCTGGGCGTGTTTAGAGCGACGACACGACGATGTGCACGTCAAGACAACGCTGCCGCCCGGACAGCCTACATGAGCATCAAAACAGGATGTGTTTAGCACATACGACCATACCCATTGGAGAACTCGGGATCCCGTCCGCTCTCCCATAGATAAGCCAATGAGGGCTGGAGTAGTAGTCGGGTCGGTGACGACCGGCGAATGCCCAGTGTTGTATGTGATATTTTTTGCCTCTGAACTAGCATATCTGCACACCTAGGGCTGAGGGTTCTATATTTACTCCTAGTGAGAGTGGGAGGGAAATGCTGTAGCAGCCTTCTGATCTAACGTTATAGAGCTGTAACTAATGATATAAATGAAGTTCTATATGTTTATTTATCTTTGCACTTTCTTATTTGTTTGCAGCTGAGGTGTTTTGATTAAATATGCTTCTCTGAGGTTTATCCTAGCTTCTGTTCCCTAGCTTCTATAGGAAAGGCTTGCTGTAGGCGTGAACAGGTCGCCAGTTTGCAATATAATCTAATGCAGCACCTGTGTTACACTAGATGCATCTCAATATGACAGCGACCGGTCCCATCCATTACCAATTGATCATAGATCAGTTCAGGCTATTAAGATTCGTTTACATCAATCTTCCATCCTAATCCGCGACGGTCTGTCCCCTTATAGATGCTGTGCGTGAGTGATGACGCTCTTGGCGACGCGGACAGTTGTCAGTGTCCTTGGCGAGTGTTCCTCGCAGCTTGTTGCCTTCAACTTCAGCAAGAAGGACCCCAAGAAAGATGGCGATTCTCCTACACTGGCCACCATTAATCCTCAAAACACCTCGAACAAGATCTCGCTTGGTACTAGGTGGAATTGGGGAACACAGGGCTTATCAGTGTGCAAAGTAGGTAGTAATATGCAGACAGGTACCTTAGTGGAGGTGCCTCTTGTGCAAAGAGGTAGGCACGTAGCGTGGTCTGTGCATCTTGCACCTCAGCTGCAGTGCAAAGCCCGCCGGGCGCCGGGCGTCATGTGCAAGCGAGGCCACCCTTTTGGTTCCTTTTGATTGGCTGGAAGCTCCCCAAATCCTCGAGTGTCCCCACTCTGGGACGGGTTTGTTGCTTGGGCCATGCCGCTTTCCACCCCTTCCTTCCAGTCGAGCAATTTCTCCATTTCACACCTGTCTTTTCGCGCCGCTCATCGTGCAATCCCTGAAATCTCTCAATCCAGCGAAACAGGTGAAGCCGTCTCATACCAAGTCAGCAATAAATCAGCCTGTTGTATCTGCCGCTTCAACAAGCAGCGGCGCCGTATTCAGCATGGCGACACCAAGGCGACGCGCGCTGCAAACACCCAACGCGACCAGCCCCGGCCCGACGCTTGACTCCATCACCGTCGCCGGCGACGGATCATCGTCCCCAGAGACGCCAACAAGTGACGACCTCGCCGACGCGACAGTGGGCACTCCCAATCGATCTAGACCAGAGGCATCTGCATCTGCATCTGCATCTGCATCTGCATCTTCAGCACGCCCAAACCGTACGCCTGGCCCCACTCCTCGCCCGTTCGCCGCCGAGACAAGTAATCGGAAAAACAACAATCGGTCGACTTTGGACTTGCTCTGGGGTAGGAACAACTGGAACCCTCCTCCTTCCATCACTGGCCCGAAGCCCAAGGATCAGCTCGGTGTGAGGGACACGTCTATTCTATGCAGCATATCGAATCTTGCGGTTGAAAACAACGTCGACCTCCCGTCCCTGTATCGTCCCGGCGGCGTCATCTATGACGCAGCCGCAGCACTTCACAATCCAATCCAATGGTCGTCCAAGGTACTGTCCGAAGCCTACAAAAGGCTCAGAGAGCAGTACCCGGACACAATTCTCAAGCGCAAGAAGCACCCAAACGTCTCACGCCTGTCGCTTTCCTCGAACCCAGGCCCGCAAGGGACGCCCACCCCCGTCCACCTGACTGCTGAGACCCAGCCGATTGTCAACAGCCAGGCCCCGATCGAGTCACCAGGAGAACTTATGCCGCAACCCACCGTGCGTCGAGCCCGCAGCCTCGAAGCTGCGTCTTCGCTAGCACGGATGCTAGAGCAGCGCACAGAGAATATAGCTCAAGCAGCACTTCATTTCCATGACCGCGACTTGGCAGGTTTGACGGATCTTCAGAGGCGCTGCCTGGTCCAGTTGGAAGGCAACTTGCCGCTGACAATAGACTCAATGCGCCACCTTGCCAAATGTGTCGAACGGCGCGTCGACCACCCTGATGCATTTTGCGCGGACTTTTCGTACATGCCCGGAGACGTTGATGGTGCGATTCCCGAGGCTTTGCCTGATGGTTGCGTTGACAGTGGCACCGACGTGCTCCTGTTGCCGATTCACCACAAGGCCGACGACTCGTGGTCTCTTGCTATTTGCAACTCGGAAAGTGGAATTTTGGAATGCTACTCTCCTAAATCATCGCAAGATCGTCTGCAGTCTTTGCGCGACATTCTTCTTCCTTGGTTGGATGCCTTTTTCCCGCATGCAGACATAGATATGCATGTCCTGGTACGCCGTTTTTCACCCCATTTTTGAAGCCACAAAGCTGACCATAGAAATAGGAGGGAACAAGTTGCGAACACCCTGCCGACAGTGGTGTTTACGTTCTTCTAGCCATTGAGAACCTGATGCGCGACAGTCACTCTTGGGGACTGTTTGCGCAGCTTGAGGAACCCGCCGAAAGCCTTCGCAAAGTGTTGCGGCAGTACCTGTCTGACCTCACGATCGATGCAAGAAAGCCCAAGCATCGGCAAAGCGACGGTCCGCGTCCGACTACCAAGCGCCCCAACTCTCTCGTTGCCCCGGAACAACCGGCTGCCAAGCGACCCTGCCTTGCGCGTCCGATGGATCACCGCGCTCGCGTCAGCGCCAGCGCCAGTCCCGCGCGTTCAAGAGAGAGCCTCGAGAGGGTCAAGTTCATGATCAGACAAGCAAAGGTCACTTACCAGGAGCAGTTTCCTTGCTTAGCAGATCTGCAGACCTCCGTCGGAGCGCTCGAGGCCAAGCTTAGCGACTTCAAGCTGGAAGCCTCAAAATGGCAAGCAGCCAGCGACGCCAAAGAGTACATTTTCAAAGAGGCACAAAGCAAACAAGAATCAGCAAATCATGACCTTCTGGATGCCCAACAAAAACTAGATGAAGTATTGGCAGTTGCAGCAACGTTGGAAAAGACCCCAGGGGCTAGTACTTCAAAGTCAATTGCCAACATCCTCGAGATCACACGCAAAGAGGTTCAGACATGTCAGGATGACCGGGAACTTGCAAAAACGAGACTCAATGAATTGTCGAACAAAATAGATGAAGCGAAAGAGGCATTCTGGGAAGCCCAAGAGAAACTTAGTAGGGCTGAACAGGACGTGTTGACCACAAAGGAATCGTTGGATGATGTTGCCCAGGCACTCCAGCTGGGCAAGTATCTAGAAGAGTTTACTGGTTGAGTGCAAGGAGGGACATGCTTCTGAGCTGAAGGGACATAGCCAGCAGGCGGCGTTTGTCATTGTTTGACTGTGTGTTTGGCTGCTATGGAATTATCTTTTCCGCGCGGAATTTGTTTTAGATACCCACGATCAGGGCTTGATCTTGTAGATACC